TTATGCACTAACGACTGTAGAGAACCTGAGAGGAGTTAGATTTTCATCTATTTTTTTTAGTTGAAAACCTCAAAGGAACTTGCTCTTACTTTTTATTATGATAAATTACAGAAACCTGACATGGTATTGTTTAGACTTTCTGCCATTTTAGGAGAAAGTATATTTGTAAATAACATTTATATTATAAGCTTTTTAGTGAGTGATTTAAAACCAGAACACGTTCCACCTTTGTTCTTGACCTCTTATAGAATGTGTGTATCTCCTCTTTACGGATAGTCTCTCTGAAATAACAGAAGCAAGGAATTTTTTTACCTAAAGCTGGCTATACTCTACAGATTTCTTTCTTTCAGAGTGGGCTGAATGAGCTAAATCTAACAGATTCCTCAATCCAGCATAAAGAGCGTGGATGGAGGAATGAGCCCATGTCGTACCTTTGTATTTCGACTGCCAGCACCTTCGGTTGTCAGAAGACCTGAATGTAGAATTTCGCCAGCCCAAAGTCTTTGTAACCATAAGGCACTGCATGGCCTTTGAATTTCAGCTATCTTAGAAGGGCCACTAATGGGGGCTATGTTATGTGCAAGCCCCCTTACTATAAAAGGATTGGTTCCCAGCAGGCCCTGGACAGGCCTTGGAGGGGAAGCAGGGAGTAGAGAAGCAGCAGGGGTGTGGAATTCCTATCTATCGATGCCTGGGCAGGTAGTTATTTTCTACATTCAGCCCTGTTTTGCGCAAGCAGAGCTAAATGTACAGCAGGGAAGCCCCTGTTTTGTACAAGTGATTCTTGGCGACATTGTATGCAGCCTGCAGGTCTGCCATTCTCCATGGGGGGGAGAGGTGGTTTAGCAGGTAGGGACGCATTGAGGAACCTGGCCTTGGGGCAGCAGAGAAAGTAAATCCGGCCCTGGAGGGGCTGTGAGTTTTCTCAGGCCCATACCTCAAACATGAGCCTGACGAGGATACAGATGATAAAGAAGCAGATTAATTACTCAGCTGAGCTTGGCACTGCCTTCTCTGAGACCACCCACAGCACTTTTCCACTCAGCCCTCCGCTGTCCACCCACTCTGACAGTAGGACCTCTGATAGCAAATAAACAATGATTACACAGGCTGGAAACCACTATAGGCTGACTCCTGTACCTTAATAACTTATGTCAGTCTGTACTTGTGTTCAACCTACAGGCTGAGCGAGAGTTACTATACAGTGCTATATTGTGCTAAATTACTGTGGATTGAAGTATGGTGAGCTACATATTTTTGTGTACTCCACCCCTGTTAAAAGACCCAACAGTCCTTTCTAAAACAACCTTTTTGTGTGCATCTCAGCAACAACTGTAGTTGCTGTTTAGCTTCTAAACCACCCCTAGTAGTCTGTTGGTTGTAGTTTTATTGTTTTGTCTTTTAAATTACTATATATACACAATATATATATTTTATTTTTCCCTTTTGCTAGGACCCTTTATTATTTTGGGATTTGTAGTATACTTGTTCCTGACAAAGGCAAAGCTGCCCTTTGTTTGCAGCATGTCACTGATTGCAGTAAAGTAGTGTGCTCCACATATTTATTTCCACTATTGTCATAGCTGACATGAAATTCATGCAATCCCCTTTATTTAAAATGTCCGGCAGGCATTATAGGAGAAGCAGAGGTTCTGCATGTGGAGGTATTAGGGGGCGAGCATTTTGTGCAGGACAAAGCAGTGGTCAGGCCATTCTTTAGAGGCAGAGTATGTCCATCTTTTCTGTTTCAGTGACTATACTAAACAGCCGCAGCATGCAGAGAAGGTAGTTGAGTGGCTAACAAATCCTTGCTCTTCTTCCGTGTCACAGAGCAGCCAGTTGTTTGCAATTGCTCCTAATGTGCCATCTTCTCCCTCCTCCTCTACTAATCCTGCCATAGTCCTGCAAAGGGAGTCAGCAGAATTATTTCATCACATCATCAATGACCTCCTGCAGGAAGATCTTGGTCATGTGTAGGTATTCCTCAGCCCCCTTTCTACTAGTTTATGGCAAGTAGTAAACCACAATGGCAGGTACCCAGCCGCTATTTTACCAAGATCACCTTCTACTAAAGTGTAGCAGAGTACATATGACCACGGACACATGGTTCAGGAAGCATGGCCAGTGATGTTACTGTGGCCCCTACCACCCGAAGTGGAGTGGCTACTAAAATTTAGTGTTGTTAGCACTGTAATCAGTGTAGCCGATTTGTAGTCTGGCATCATCTGGTTAGTCTAGGTGTTCTGCTATTGATTGCACCTACCTGTGAGTGGGATGTGACCCTACCATAGAGCGGGGCAGCCAATAGGGGAAC